TATTTGATTTCTACGTTCAACTATCCTAAAGGCAAATGCATAACATTAAACAAAAAATATGTAAGCAATATCAAAATAATACGCATGTTCAAAAATACGACTAAATATCAAACGAAGCTCATACGCTTGTACAAATAAAACCACTGCGTCCTTGAAATCACAAATCCACTATGGAGTTATAGATTTGAAATTACTGTTTTCAAAAATTAATGGATAACATTATTCCCCTAGTGACATACTTTTATAGACAAGTATAGACTAGGAAGTACATATTGAACCAACCATTCTTGACGATGATCCTTCTGAAAGGTCATCAAACTGATACAACCTTAAGATTACTAGGTGATTTTGATATGCTCTGAGAATCGCCTAGTTGGAACATAAGACACACAGTATGGAGTCTTTGAGAGGAACTGGTAAAAGGGGTTTTATTTTCTTACTATTGCGTTTAGGTAAGTTTTCTATTTAATACGAGTTTAGGTTGATTTACTCATGATGATAGGAAAAGAATGTGCAAAACATGACAAAATGACAACCTTTTGAATGATTAATAAAAAAAATATTCACCAAGATGACGTAAACAACCATCAAAACACGTATCAACTATTCGCACACACATATATAGTATGTTTTCAAGAATATTAAATAGTCCTTTGAGTTTACAAATTTACGTTATTTGAGAAACAAGATGGTTTGTGCTATACGATCCACGGGAATGTCACTTATTATTTGATATGAATACTTGTACCACAGATGGGTACGTTCATAAAACGTAGAGCAAAAGAATTCATGAGCAACCATGTTGACGAATTTAACTTTAACTTCCGACAAGTTTTATTAAGATTCTTGTTTGTTGGAAAACGACAGTCAAGTTAACCATGTTTACCATGAAAAACAGACTGTTCCTACTAGGACAGTTTTCATGACTGCCGATTAGATTAACGTGTTCGCTTTTTAAAGTACCAAGGTAAGGTATGAAGTTCACTTACAAACTAACCATGCATGCACATAATATTTTTTCGACAACGTCTCTTCTAAAATGAAAGCTTGATCTGGTCTGCTCCAGCCTTAAGTAGAATGCAATCATGACTGCTTTGTAACGATTGACAAGATATTAAAATAACATGAAATTGAAAATGAAAACTGGGAATGTGTCGAAGAGACTACAACCCTATCAAAAAGCAAAAAAAAAACAACACAAGGCCACCAAAAGGTCAACAACACAGCGAGAAAATCCCGCACCCAGAGGCGGTGTCAGCTGGCCCCTAACTAAATATGTACACTAGTTCAGCGAAAAAGGACGTCATTAAACCCCGATAAATGATATTAATATTATATCTCATATAAATGACCCAAAATCAAAACCAACATACAAGACTAACAAAGGCCAGAGGCTCCTGACTAGATAATCATTCTTAAAGTAATAAACATAGAGAAGTTCTCGCGCGGACACACACTCTTTCAACTTGTATATTTTCAGAGCATAACCCTGAAGCATGGGGGGAGGGACACTCTTACAGTATTTCTTTATATTAACATACCCCATACGATTTTATTTCAAAACAGATAAAACTAATCCTTATTTTACTTTAATAATAATATATATTGGGTACATTTTTACAACAATTGCCAGTTATTCTAGTCTGGAGCAGACTTGTACTTTGCATCATCCAAAACTGGCCTTACCAAGTTGTTCTGAAGTCAATATGATATGGCATAAGAACTGGTCATATGCTGATGTGTATAAATGTCTGACCTACTCTAGTATTTAAAAGCAAACCTTGATCTAGTATGCCAGCTAAAAAGTTAACTTGCTTATCTGCTCCTAAAGCATCAATACGTTTGCTCAAAGTTTGTTTTTGTACAGTTTATGACCGCACTCATATGTAGGTTTTCTAGAAAGGACTCTTATAGAGTGTGATTTAACAGTCGATGAAATTAAATTTATAGTATGATTAAAATTACCAAAAAATACAAAACTCCAAGAAAAATCAAATGGCAAAACCAAAAGCTCAAACACATCAAATGAAAGAAAAAAAACTGTCATATATAAATACTAAAAAAACGAATATTTAAAATAAAAAGAAATAAACACTTTACGGAATTTTGCTATATATATCTACTTAAATATAATTATAGATAATCTTTTAATATCAGGAGAAAGTAAAGGACAAATGAAGACAACATTATGAACAAATCAACAAAAACACTTCAAACAATAAATTATGCAACTTTCGATGCTTTTTGGTGACGAATTTTCGGTTCATGCACTAGACTGCAGATAAGAATAAAATGGATGACCAGATAGCGTATATAGTATACCTTGTTTAAAGTTAACATGTATTACAAGTTCTAAATATATCTGCACTAAATATACTTATGGTATAGACTTTGAAAGTAGACCGAATATAAAAAAAAAAAAAACAGATAAGATAAGAAAGCGTTGGGCTAAAACAGGCTTTGATGACATTATAAATATACAATACAAAATTGACAGGGGCGCCTCCGACACTTAACCTCTAAAGTTGAGATGACTTATCCTTCCTTCGTATTAAGCACGTCATTTTTTTCCCTTTGCTAAACTTGGCGAATTAACTGACTGAAGTCTAATAATAAAGTAATTTTTTGTCAAAATTATACCGACTATTCATTGTTACGATCAATTTTAAGGTATTTTGGTACCTATCAAATACGAAAATGTTTTAAATGTATTATATTCAGTTGTCTGTAAAGGACTCGTAAAATGAACAGTAAGATCATTAGTAATTTGATTGGTCTCATTTAAGATTTTAAAATCCAAAATTAATTGTCAAAGTGTCTGCAGATGTAATGTCACTGATGGGCGTTCAAGCATATCAAATGTCAAGTTATTGAAAAAGGGTATTTTGTATAAAAGAATCTGTTTGGTCATTTAGAACATAGTTCTTAACAGAAAGTGTTTTCATTTGGCGACGAATATTTGACGTTTGAAGCCCAAATTAAAACTTTCAATAATAACAACAATAACACCTATTTATGTATTGGTATAAAAAAATTTCACATTAATGTTTTTTTCAGGTTTTATTTGTTGCGGCATAAATTAGCTTTTTGAATGTAAACATGTACGAAATCCCATTCTTCCCCGCTTTAAAAAAAAATGTGTGTTTTTGCCCCTCCCTCTCTTTGACAAAACTATTTTAAAATCAAAAAATGAAAACAAAAGATGACACTAATTACTTCCAGACTATTCAACTATATGTAGTTGTTTCTTTTTCCTCACTTTCAGATGTTTACGCCTGCCCACTTTTTAGTCTTTCACATTTTCCACTCAAGACAATTTTTAATGAAACATATGACAGAATACAATGCATCATTTTTTGTTTTTAAAAATTATTGGCAGTTTATATGAAATTAAACTTCATTGCAAGATAGGGCAATATTTTACGGGAATCAGTTATACTACTCCATCCGGTTACAATTTAGAAACGATGCTACTTGAACTACTTTTCATCGGCCGAAACATTTAAAAGTTTGATTATGCAAATAACAAGAGTTCAAATGCTATGCTATTTACCCATGTAAACATGTTTTAAGTTTCAAAATGCGTAGTTGGATATTTTGTGTCATGGTTTCAGGTATTATACTATCTTCTGTGTTAATTTTTGGTTTATTTTTCACTGTAGACATATATCGTTATTTGAGGCGCGCAATCCCAGTTTTCTTGACAAAACGTGTTTTCACGCTTACAGCATATATGAATCCCTTAAATACGCGAATTGCTACGTTATAGTCTGCCTCTTTTACCAACATTATAAAAACGTCATAGAACGTTTATGTTTCAATCAAGTATCGTTAGCTAGCGCACATAAACAACAGGCTGTATTATTCTTTAAAATGATCTAAACCATTTGAAACGTTTTCGAAAGTTTCTATGAAATTTGCCTTTGTTTATTGTTCAAAACAATATAGATTATATATACATTTTGTATACATTCTTCACAATTACTTTATTCATTTAATTCCTTGTATGATTCAGGTCTTTCAGACACGTTTCTAAACCTTCTCTTGTTGATGTTGCATCCAAATCTTATTTGGCTTTAAACTTTTGTCTCAAAACCACTTGGTGTGCAAATATTTTGACGAGTTTCCAAATAAAAAAACTTATGTTGCTTTATATTACGTCTTGAACAATGAGAACGAGCAAAACAGGGGAGTTCCAATAGTGCACCACTGTTTCAAAATTGGCAAAGTTTGTCTATTGTAGAATAAGAGCACGAAAAACTTTACTATCGGTAACAAAAACTGATCTTGGTGTAAATAGTTTTGACGAAAGTCCTAAAAAGTCGTTAGAAATTGGCAATTGATTGAAAAATGGCCGCAAAAAGTACTTTATTACATTTAACAGGAAGATGCCAAGTTAGTTCATCCAATAAGTAGTCAGTGCTATGGTACTGACATGATTCAATACATATACGTATAACGAATTCTCCTTTCATCAATTTAGAAATTATTAGGAAACTATGGTTAGAATAATCCTAGGAAAAGTTGACCTTAAATGCATTCAATCTGGCCATTTTGTTTCCGTCTTTTTAATCATATATCTATTAACATACATTTATCAGCGTATCTATGAATCCCTGGCATTTATGTTTTATGTTTGGGATGAAAAATCCAGAAAGCACTTCAGAAAAACGAAATGATACTTATTAGTCTGAAGAAAAGTTACAGGTTTGTAAAGGGGAATTCAATAATCATATTAACAACCTAATATCTAAATATCTTTTAAAAACATGTTATTCAAACATTAGTTCCCTTCTTTAGTTTGTGTCCTAACAACAGCATCAGTAGCGTCAGCAGCTCCATGTCCATTCCCTTCACAAAATGTATGTCAGAGTGCTAAAGTATTGGATGAACCTCATCGAAGTACAAAATTTACTGCCTTAAATACTTCTCGTCTGCTTTGTGATAGTGGGATGCATGATGGTTGGTATCGATTTAAGTCCAATGGAATTGACGTTGCCATGCCGACATCCTGCATTGAAACAGACCATTGTGGTACCATCACACCAATATGGTTTCAAGGAATTCTTCCATCGGCACAGCAGGGAGCTGTAGAAGGAAAAGGATGCATCAACCGCGGGAAGGAGGACTATTTGCTTTTTGCATATGGGGGAACCAAATGTTGCCATGAAGACTTGCAGATATGTGCTAAAAACTGTAACGGATATTATGTATACAGATTGACCAGAAGTCCCGGATGCTCAATATCGTATTGTGCAGGTAACTCACAGGACATATATTTACAACATACTAGTAATCGAAAAATTTTGGAAAAAAAGAGAAAGAAACAAAAAGAAAAATTGAGTCGGAAAAATGAAATTAGATAAAATTATAAGTAACAAACATACCAAAGATTGATGAAAACAGTACATAAGTCATGTATAAACAAAACACCGAACAATTTTAATTTTAAAAGGGGAAATTCTATAAAACTTGATAAAAACCTCGCCAACAGAACGAATGAAAATAAATGGATACATTCTAATTTTCTTAGTGCATTTTTCTTTTGGCAGTTTATGCGGTCACCTCGTCGTCCATTATCATTACTTATGCATAGAGAATTGTTAGTAATGACTATCCATTCGGCATCAGTTATTTCGCATTGACAATGGGGATGAAATCAATAAAAACTCATTTTAAATGTTCCTAAAGTAATAATTATCTTCACATCTCCCGTTAGAAATGATAAATCGGCCTACCAACAGAGCTACCACGGTTAGAAATCAGCGTTTTAGTTATGTAAATCTTCTAAGATCTCCTCCCTGGGAAACATAAAATACACTGGAACAAAGTTTACAGTAAACTTCCTTATGATGAACTTATTAAGTTTAGAACTATGCAGCGAATTGTCTAATTATTCAACATGTTCAATATGATTGCAAAACGGAGATTTTATACTATCGGACATCATGGGAAATAAGTTCGAAATCGTTTTGGAAATAATTTCAAATATTAAAACCAAATATCAATAATCCCTGTGAGTAACTGAGCGAAATTTGTTACTTTTGTGTCGATCGGCTTATATGGCCACCATTTCCAAGAAAAACATTTAAAATTGTATAAATTTGTAAAGATCTTCTTCTTAAGAACAATTGCAGTTGTCGAAACCAATTAACCAATTATGACAGTTTTCTTCAATAATGTTGCCTTTCTTATTTATATTGGGATTTACATCATTCTGTAATTTTCTTACCTCACGTCCAAGCTGCCCCATTTTTCTTCCATTTTTATGAAAAGCTAATTGAAATAATAAGTTTTTTTATCATTTCTAGCTAATCTACAACTTTAGAAAACTTTTAGTGTCATATGAGGAAATACAATCACTTCTCGTCCTTCACCAACAGTCCAGCGTACATTTTATTCAAAACACTTTCTGGTCCAGAAACTTTTGATTGAACTTATTGAAACAAATATTAACATTATTAACCTTTTGATGCCAGCACATTCGTTTATAAATTATATTTTTATTAATCATCAAACACGGTCGCTATGGCTAAAATAAGAACACGGGGAATAACTGAAAAAAACATTATGAATACAGAAAATAAAGAAATTTTATGAAAGAAGAATTATTTAAGAAAGCTTGGATCTACCAATTTTCATTTTCTTTCAATATCATCATAGAGGTAATTGTCATGGTAAATCGAATGGAGAAGTATGACAATTTTAGAGTTTGTTTATGAAAGTAGAAAACTATAATAGATTGTAATATAATAAAACCCTACCATACTCACAAAAACAAGATCTACAAAAATACCCATAAAAGACAGCTTTGAATTTGAAATTTGAATACTTCTATCTTCTATAAATTCAGAAATTATTGAGTGCATTAATTATTTCAATTTTGGTGTGTAATGTTATTTATTCCGAAATTATTAAATTCCGTTGAATTTACATTTATCAAATTGGCAATGAATGCGTACACAATTTGGTTTAATCAAATTAGACAATATTTTTCAAATATTTCAGGGGACCAAACTGCATGTGCATACGGGAAATATGGAAACAACTGTTCATTTGGTAGGTATACTTGTAGATTTATAAATAAATTGACATTTAATTGTTGATGGTCATTTGATTGCGTTGCTGTAAATGGGTAGATTGTTCTAACCAAGACAATGATATAATGAATTGCTTGTGGTTGTATTGCTATATTTCACCGTAAAAATCTTAATAAAGCGTACTTATAAATCATCAGTTAGTTTATAAACAGATAAATGTTCTAAAGCTATGGTTGTTTCTCAACCAAAACTGACCTTGCACGAGTAAGGTCTCTATGGTTTAATGCTCGTAGATATACGTATCAGTCAGATTTATGTCTAGTCTCAAATTTCTGCACTTTCCTCAAATATGTGTTTCATGACGTCATGAAACTAAAATCTGTAGCCTTTTATTCATTCCATACGTGTGGTTTTTTTTTCATGTGTTTTAGTGTGACATGACGTAACTCCACTTTGTGCCAATAGGTTTCATCTGAGAAACCCTTGACCATTTGATCGTCAATGCTTCGTTCTTTACGTCACGAACAAAAACATGTGAGAGGAAATGGAAAGTTCTAAAATCTCCTAAAACTAGTTATTGCAATAAATTTTTAGTTATCCTTATGTCCTCTGCTTATTTGCATCCTAGTATCCAATGACCTTCATTTTAATATGTTTATAAGATATTTTAGTAATCCTATTTTATTGGGAGACATCTGGTCGTTTAAAATGTACCCAGTGTTAACCTATTTTCAAAGACAAGCAAATAGGTTAACATTACTGACTGCACAAATGTTTTAATAGTACCGTGGCTATGTTTGTCAATAAATGGCAAAGTAAACCTTCACCTTTTGTTTACTCTAAAACGGTAAATTTTCCGAAGGAAACAGATAAGATTAGAGTTTGACAAATAGAAAATTATAGGACATAGATTTCAGACGTCTGACACAAAATTTGATGTCATGGATTCGATAAAAGGACACAGATTAGTAGATTTGTAGATGGACAAGTTGACTCTTAAATACATATACATATATATGTATATATAAAGTGCCTAGAAAATCAACTTAACGATGTTAGAGTAGATCTGTTGTTTTACTTCCTCCACGAACGAAAAGGAAAAGTATTTTCCCCTCCTTTATGACCACTGCACGTTGCATGCATCAATTTCAAATTTTAACATGTTAACAAATTAATACATATCAAACTTCAGATAAAGAATGTTTTTGTTTCAATTCATGTGCTATTGTTTTTGTTTTTATTTTTTTTATTGCCAGACGGCGCAAAGAAAACGCTGAAAATTTCATTTAAAATACAATCATTTTTTTCTAACAAATCTTCAATATAAATATTTCTGCCAGATTAATTAAATTTTTCACTTATGATTCGGTAACATGTATTTCTATTCTTATTTCCGTAAATATATCTGTTTTAACTTTAAAGCAATGATCTACGTATTACAAAGAGGTGTCAACGATAATTTTGAGGAAACCAGCTAACTTCTTTTAACAGGAACACCCATTTAACTATAAAGTAGACATGTGATAGAGCATACTCTGATCATTTCTCATGTTTCTGCTAATTTCATTACAAACATGCCTTGGGTGTTTGAAATAGGAGCATATTCTCCAGTATAAAGGGTAGATACAGGATTTTTAAAAGCGGAAGGGATTGAAATTAAAAAAAAATTCGGGAACAGATTTCAGAGATTCTATGCAAAATATATATGTAAATTGTGAGACACATAAGATATATCTATTTTTGCGATTAAATCGGGGAGGGGCGTATATTCCTTATTTAGTATTTGCTCTGCCACTTGGTATCATGAATTAAAGAATTTTTGAATTATGATGTAAGATCTGAATTTGCTACTTAGTGATGAGACTAAAACAACAAAAAATGGGTTTCAAACTTAATATAAAAATGATCAAGATCAACATATATGTTTAAAGAGATATAAATAATGTTGTAGTATGTTTTTGTTTTGAACACGTTGTAAATAAACTCATCATAGATACCAGGATTGAAATTTATATTTACGCCAGACGCGCGTTTCGTCTACAAAAGACTCATTTGTTTTGTACACGTTGTATGTCAATAAATACATGAATATTAGCAAAGTAGCAAGATAGTACAATGTAGGTTAAATGATGAAATGTAAGGCTGAAATAACAATATCGACCGCATAAATGAATACATTAGAAATAAGGAATAATATAATATACTAAAATATAACTATAAGAAAGCATTTGAAGAAAATATCTAAATAAATTCTCTTTTACAACAATTCAAAGTTTTTATTCGAGGTAAAAACGTTATGCGTGTCTCAAGTTTCTTTAACAGTTATTTTTCAATTTAATTCAATTTAACAGAAATTTAATGATATCGTGATATGTGTTTTTAATGAATTGTTGCAAAGAAGAAAAACACAGATTTTTTGAAATACTAAGAACGAAAATCGGATCGACCTCGATTGCGTGTAGTATTGTAACTAATATAAATAAACGACTAAGATAATCATGAATGATGATTTGCACTCTTTGCTGTCGTCTATTTTCATTGCAGAATTCTTTGATAATAAAGACATAAATTATCGGAAGTTACATATTTCTTCTAACAAACGATTTGTGCTTTTACTTTCAGACCTGTATCCAAAAATGACAAGTCAGCCAGTTTTAGAAACCCCAAAATGTGAGAATGGTAACCTACAATTTCGATGTCTAATACCATTTGATTCCCAAGATAACAAAGCCAACTTTAATGTCACGTGGATGGTGGATGGGAAGCCTGTAATCGATGGTCGAACACACCAGCCAATTGTTCAAACCCTTACGAATGGACAAAGGGTTGCTACTTTAAATGCCTATAAACTAGCTAAAAATATGGGGAAAAGGGTAACTAAACGTGTTATTACAGCAATATAAGTAAACAATAGTACACTTATCATATTTTCGATTAGAGAAAAACTTTACATGTATAACTTAATTATATCACTATTAATACAGTGTCTATATCGTGTTTACAATATTCAGCATTTCTGTGGTAATAAAACAACTTGCAAACATTTCAAAAATAAAAATCTCGTTTTCATTTTGATTTTGAGAAATAACTCCATTGTATAACATAACACAGATATTTACATTTTTCAAAAAATTTACGATACCGTACGGTCGCTAACAATAAGACAAACCTAAAAATGGCTTTACTGACTAGACAGATATAATTGACCCCGGGATGACA